CGTGGGTCAGTTGTTCCATCATATTTCGGAATATCAGGCATTTTGAATTTCTTCGCAATTGGTAGAGGAGCAACACTTGGCTTCCAAGGTTGTTGTGAGTATTTTTTGTCTATATCTATTCCCTTGATTACGGGCGACCCTCCAGGTATTTGTTCTATGCGATCGCTCTGCTCCTTGATTTGTTTCTGCAAGGTTAGTACTAAATTCTGTAAATTAGAATTGACTGGGTTACCTGAGCTTCCATCACAAGATTCGCTAGGAGTTCCTCCACTGCCTGAGTTAGCGAGTCCTGAGCGAGGATTTTCCATAGTGTTGTTGTTTGGAGTAGGTGTTGGTGGTGCAGCACCTGGCAGCTGGTTAGCAAAAGCTGGAAGAGCGTTACTGACCTGTTGGGCGATTAATTTTTTCAAAGATTCATTAATAACTTGGTTTTTTTCGAATTGATCATTCGTATCCGATTCAGATCCATTAGGAGTCCCATATCGGGATTGTCGAAGAGAATTTCGTGGCGATAGGACTGGAGTTCCATCACCTTGTTGATTCTCCTGCCGTTGTTGATTTTCTTGGTGTTGTAAATCTTGTTGGTTGTTGTCGTTGACATTCGACATGATTGTTTTTGATAAAAGATTCAATTTGGAAAGCAGAAGATTATCAGTTTTCCGGTAACAGAACCAATTTGTTTAACCAGAAAATAGGAATTTCGGTCAAAGCTTAATTTTAGAAGAACTTAGGTTACTGATAATCAAATATAGAATAAATAAGAAGAATTGACTTAAACGATAGCTGAATATGTAAAAGAAAGCAAAGTAAATCAGTGTATTCCAATGATATTCTGTGTCCTTACAAATGTTATTTCTCTCCTTTTATAGCTATTTCTAAGTAATACGTTTCTTTCCTCTCATAACAGAGCCATTATAAACAATTAATGACATTAATGTAACGTTATAATTGACAATCGTAACTATTTCGCGAAGATTCTATAACGTTTTCCATCATTGATGCTCATTAATTACGAATAATACGTATCTATACTTTTTGCTATCTAGGTTCATTCCTCCGATGTCTCTTCGAATTACCAAGAGGTCCGAGTAACCGTTCTTCCCTGTTTTCTTGAATCTTTGCTCGCGTCTGTTAAGGCTCATGTCTCTTCGAATACTCTTCGCCAGCTGTCACTCTTTCATTGATCCACGTGTCTTGATATATCAGCACATAATTAATTCCATATGTTAATTTGATTTTCCCCAATATACACACTATGTGGAGTTTCACATATAGGAGTTTCGAACTTCAGTACATTACGCCAGAATTTCATATATTCTGATGTTTGAAAAAAGCAGAGACGATAAGGCATTAATGTTTCATATATTCGCTTTTAACCATGCAATGTAGCTGTAATCTTGTGTATCCCATTGAACTCACTGTGTGTGTGTTTTATACGTATCACTCTGTATTTGTGTGTGTGACAGAGAAAAGAAGAATAAATGTGGCTACGATCTGCAAAAAATGTGGCTGGCAAATCTGAATATGAAAAGATGCTTTTTACAAATGAAGATAGGTAGTCACAATCAGAGCAACAAATCTTGAAAAACTTTAATGCCAAAAGTCTAACTCTCACGTCATAGCTTTATGCATTGCTGCTCATACTATGCGTTTTGTTGTATATACCTTAACGGGTAGTCCGGTTAGCAATAGGTTATTCTGGGATTATAATACGAGAATTAAATAATGATAAAATTATTTAGTGAATTTACATTACAGATAGATGTTTAATTTATTGGACTAAAAATAAAATATACTGGGTATAGTATTATGTGATTAATTGTTTTACCATAATTATGGTAGAAACAATCTCAGTTACTAATTATATAATCAAATATATTATACCATATATTGGATAAGGAAAATTGCAATGCGATTGTTGAGATAAAACTTATTAATGTTAGTGTTTCATTATGTTATTACCCTCAAACTCATTTAGCCTCTATATATTCAGAACATTGAGTATACAATCCTCGATTTTAGTACATTGATAAGTTATAGCTTTAGGGTTGTTGAGTTTAAATTTCGGACCAAATTAGTTATAAACGAGCTTACATGAATACTCTCGTTTTTACCACATATTAAAAAATTACATTATTGTACGTAATAAAATAAATATACATTATTTTAAGTTTTTTTGGGTGCCAAAATGGAAACAATTTAGACATTTATGCTCGTTATTCTTGGAGAATTGTACGATCGAAATGGAGTAGTGTTCTAAAGAATTGTAGGACCAATAATGTTATAGCTGTCTCCAAAGTCTAATATATTCACAAGATGAGTTACGTAAAAATGCAGATGTTAACACGAATATGCAGTCATATAAAATTAGATAAGGCAAAAATAATCACATCGGAGAATTTGTATGGTGTGCGATTCATCAGGTGCAATCAGCAATGCCCTTACTTCGTACCCATAGGCATGGATCTGGTATGAACTCAGAAGCCTAATAAGGGAGAGTCTGGGTCCACCAGAGGAAGAGTACTTTTAGGCTTTCCGGGAATTGGAATTATTGAAGAAGCTCTTTATACTGGAATTGAATCCTACACATAAGAGCATTCCGAATGCTAAAAAGTTTCGGTTCATTTTATTTACGATTTAAAAGATGCTAAAAAACTTTCTTTCATTAGACCAGTCAATAATGGAATGGCAGAGTAGTTGATCCCGACCCTTGCCGGTAAAGAAGCTTCTTTAAGACACTGAGTTGCGTCAGGAAGAGTAGAATCAGAAGAAGAGCTAAAAGCTTGAGTTGAATCAACTGAGAGTTCAAGCCCCTTTTCTTTATAATAAGCTTCCACTTTTTGTTTCGTCCAATGTGTAGTCACATAGAAGAATTTGTAAAGTCACATAGGAGAATTTGTAAAGTCACATCAGAGAATGTGTAATGAAGTAAGTATTTGTATGTTGCCTTTTCGGTGACACCCTAAAATATCGCCACCAAAAGTAATATTTGAGTGGCGACTTTTTGTGATCGACCATAAAAATCGCCACAAAAGGTAATATTTATAATCTCCTTTTTCAGGGGCGACCGTAAAAGTCGCCACAAGAGGTAATATTTATATGTCACCTCTTTCAGTTGTGACCATAAGAGTTGCCACAAAAGATAATATTTATATGTCGCCTCTTCCGGTGGTGACCATAAAAGTCGCCACAAAAGGTAATATATGTGTGTCGCCTTTTTAGTGGCGACCATAAAATGTGAAACAACAACAATAAACCCAGTATGTTCCCAACAGGTGGAATCTGGGGAGGGTAGTCTATACACAAACTTACCCCTACCTAATGCAGGTAGAGAGGCTGTTTCCAACAGACCCCCGGCTCGGAAAGGGCGAGAAGAAGAAGAAGAAGGAGAAAGAGAAGAAGAAAGATGAGAGAAGAAAAGGAGGGAGATAAAAGATAAGTAGTTCCAAATAATAGCAACAGGGAATACAATACTTGAGGCGAACAATAACACATAACGCAATAAAAATCTAAGAATATGAAGGGACATGCTTGCTATTAAGACTTTCGATGAATAACTAAGAAACTGTCTACTAACCTTCTATCCTAATCTTCGACCTCCACACCCTTCTATCAAGGGTCATGTCCTCAGTGAAGGCATAATGATAGTAGGGTCGGGATATCCCCGCCCTCCGAACCGGACGTGAGGGTCTCCCCTCATCCGGCTCTCTACAGGGGAATCTCCACTCATTGCTTCCCCTAATATCCTCCCTTTACCATATCATGGGGGAGTTGAAGCAGCGTCATGTCCTGCCTAATCACCTCACCCCAGTACTTCTTAGGCCTACCTCTACCTCTTCTCAAACTCACCATATCCATCCTCTCACACCTCCTAACAGTAGCATCAATGCTTCTCCTCTTAACATGTCCGAACTATCTCAGCCTCAACTCCCGCTTCTTGTCCTCCACGGAGGCTACTCCCACTCTGTCCTGGATAACTTCATTATTAATCTTATCTCTCCTGATACATCCACACATCTATCTCAACATCATCATCTCTGTTACTTTCATCTTCTGCACGTGGGTGTTCTTGACTGGCCAACACTCAACCCATACAACATAGTTTGTCGAACCACTACTCTATAAAACTTACCCTTAAGTATTGGCGCCACATTCTTATTACATGAAACACCGGAATCGAGCCTCTATTTTATCCATCCCGCTCCTATGCGATGTGCGACATCTTCGTTAATCTCCCCGTTACCTTGAATAATAGACCCAAGATACTTAAAACTATCTCTTTTAGGGATAACTTGAGCATCAGGCTTTACCTCTACATCTGTTTCACGGGTCCCATCATTGAATTTTCACTCCAAGTATTCTGTTTTGGTTTTGCTCAACTTGAAACCTTTAGACTCCAAAGTCTGTCTACAAAGCTCCAACCTCGGGTTAACTCTGCTTCGCGTCTCGTTAATCAACACTATATCTTTGGAAAATAACATACACCAAGGCACCTCCCCTTGGATGTGTCGCGATAGTACATCCATCGCCAAGGCAAATAAAACGGACTAAGAGTTGATCCTTGGTGCAACCTCATCACAACAAGGAAATGCTCCAAGTCACCTCCCACAATTCTCACCCGAGTCTTAGCACCATCATACATATTCTTAATCACCGTAATGTACGCTAATGGAATGCTGCTAGCCTCCAAACACCTCTACAGAACCTCCCTCGAAACTTTGTCGTATTTCAAAGTCAATGAACACCATATGCAAGTCCTTCTTTCTCTCCATGTACTGTTGCACTAATCTCCTTACCAGGTGAATTGCTTCTTTAGTTGAATGTCCAAGCATGAATCCAAATTGATCCTCGAAAATAGACACGCACCTCCTCATCCTGGCCTCCACCACCCTCTCCCAAATCTTCATAGTGTGACGTAACAGCTTGATACCCCTATAATTGTTGGAATTTTGGATATCACCTTTGTTCTTGTACAACGGAACCATCGTGCTCCATCTCTATTATTCGGGCATCTTCTTCGTCCTGAAAATAATATTAAACAGCCTAGTGAGCCAGTCCAAGCCTGCTCGCCCCGTGCTCTTCCATAATTCCACCGGTATTTCGCCTGGACCTGTTGCTCCTCCCTTGCACATCTTACGTATTGCCTCATCCACCTCCTCTACCTTAATCCGCCTACAGTACCCAAAATCCCGTCGACTATCGGAGTGCTCCAAGCCCCCCAGCAGAATGCTTCTATCCTCCTCCTTGTTTAATAGTTTATGGAAGTATGTCTGACATCTTCTTCTAATAAGAGCCTCGTCCATCAATACTTTTCCATCCTCATACTTGATGCACTTGACTTTGTCTAAGTCACGGGCCTTCCTCTCCCTCACCTTAGCCAACCGGTACAACTTTTTGTCCCTGCCTTTGCCCCCGATCTCCTCGTACAAACGAGCAAACACCGCGTTCTTAGCCACCGTAACTACTAATTTTTCCTCTTTCTTTGCCTTTTTGTAACACTCCCGATAGGTCCTTCTTTCCTCCTCATTTGTACTCTCCACTAGCTTCAAATAAGAAGCTTTCTTGGTTTCCACTTTAGCTTGGACCTCTCTACTCCACCACCAGTCCTCTTTATGACCCCAGGAAAGCCCTTCGTGACCCCTAAGACTTCTCTAGCAGCTTCTCTAATGCAATTCATTGTCGTGATCCACATACTAGTCGCGTCTCCCCTACACATCCAGACCCTCATAGCGAACAACTTCTTCCTTAACTCCTGAGCTTTGTCCTTTGTCAAGTTAACCCTACTTGATCTTAGGTTGCATGCATACCACCCTCTTCCTCCTACTCCTCTTGATCTTTAGGTCTATAACTAGGAGCCTATGCTGGGTCATGAGGTGCTCACTTAGGATGACCTTGCAATCAGTGCATATACCTTTATCGCATTTCCTGCAGAGAAGATAATCAATCTCAGTCTTGCCCATCGAATTCTAGAAAGTGACCAGGTGCTCCTCCCTCTTCTAAAAACTTGAGTTAGCTATAACCAAATCAAAAGCTCTAGCAAAATTCAACAGTGAAGTACCTTCCTAATTTCAATACCCAAATCCGAATCCGCCGTGCACATCATCATAACCCCTAGCACTAGCCCCAATATGGCCATTGAAATCTCCACCAATGAACAACTTCTCGGTGTGCAGGATACTACGCACCACCTCATCCAAATCCTTCCAGAATTGCTTCTTGACCTCCTGGTCCAAACCTTCCTGAGGAGCATATGCACTAATCACGTTTACAGTAAACCCTCCAACTATAAGCTTAATACTCATCAACCTATCGTTTATCCTCCTAACCTCGACCACGAGCTCCTTTATGTCCATGTCAACTAAAATACCTGCCCCGTTCTTACCCCAACACTTCCTGAGTACCATAGTTTAAATCTGTCTACATATCGTGCCCTAGTACCCTTCCATTTAGTCTCTTGGACACACGCTATGTTGATCTTCCTCTTATGAAGAATCTTACCTAGCTCTATAGACTTTCCCGTCAACGTCCCAATATTCCAGGACCCAACTCTCATCCTAGAGTCTCTCTTATCCCTCTTCCCACCGCTGGACCCACCCGAGGACATGACCTTAATCTCACATCATTCACTACTGCCACTATAAGCAAGAGATAATAGGTAAGTTGTCGCCTGTCATACCTCTTTTTTACTACCCCGAAAGGGTATAAGGGAGTTTTTTTCAATTTAAGTGACAGTCGAAATGAGATTATTTGTTTAAAAATCAGAGTCGCCACTTGGGATAATTTATGGTGTCCCAAGTCACCCGTTTAAAATCCCGAATCGAGGAAGTTGACTCATATTTATGGTCTGCGAACACAGAAATTCGGGTAAGGAATTCTGTTAATTGGGGAGAAGGTATTAGGCATTCTCGAGTTCCGTGGTTCTAGCACGGTCGCTTTGATCATACTTGGCTTATTAAATTGTCTAATTACTCATTTTAGAACCTATGTGCATTTGCTTCTTTTAATTAAGAAATTAACTTGAAATGAGTCACGCGTACGTATACTCATTTCGTTTGGCGCGTAAAAAATTATGTCACGCGAACGTGTCCATAATTAATAACGCTTTATTATTATTAAGAAAGTTTGGCCGAAGTTGCGCTAACGCATACTCCGGTTTTGTTTTTAGAATCGTAATCATGTCACGCGAACGTGTACCCAATCACGATGGTATATTAAACGTGCCTAAAGCAAACTATGAACATTTGTCATTTTTATAACTAGGTTATGAAATTAATACGAGGGCCATATACGATTAACTTGTGGATGGAACACCTCAGACTATATAAACCTAAATTAATTTAGCGGCCTGTTAAAATCAATTTTATTATCAAGAAGAATTTGATCGAAGTTGCGCGAACGCATACTCCGAATTGGTTTTTAGAATCATAATTATGTTACGCGAACATATACATAATCATGATAGTGTTTTAAACGCGCCTAAAGGCCTTCCCACGAATATTCATTTTAAATAACTAGTTATGATATTTATGAGGGCTATGGGTGATTTGAATAAAATGGCACACCTCAATTTGTTGGTAAAGGACAACACTTGATTGAAACAGCCTACTAACTTTTTGTTAAGGAAAAGTTCGAACCATTAGTGAAAGAGCTTGAGATACATATGCTAGTCCTTGAATTATTTTGGGTTAAAAGTGAGCCAACTTCAAGCCCAAACTATTGTAGAAACGGCAAGGCCAAATGGGACTAATAGGGCTTGGGCTTAAACAAAACCAAACGGGAGACAGGGAGGGCAAAACCTGAATGATTTGGTCGGTAATTGGGTCAGCCTTAAGCCTATCCCTTTCATAATGAACTTCCAATATAGAAATGGCATTTCCCATTGCCAGCATATATAGCTTAACGAATTGGGGCTGATTAACTTAATAGAAAACCGAGTTCGAGCCTAGATAGGTCCAAAAGAGAACAATAAAATGCATTTAAATATATGATTCCAAGCGGGCCACATGGTATGGGCCAAAGCTAAAGACCCTTGGGTCTGAGATTGGGCCCAAAACCCAAGGAAAATTGGATCTGATCGCCCTGGGCCTTGTATTAAGCAAGCTAACTCAACAGGCCCAATTCTAAATTGAAGGCCTCCTGATACTTTATTGCCTTAGGCACACACACACAATACTAAACATGGAGATCAATTAACTACATGCCACATGCATTTGAAAGTTGAAACTACTACTAAGCTGCTATTGAACTCATACATGTAGTGATTCTATCAATAGAGATACTCCAGACATTTAAATCAGGTATTACAATACAACAATAGTTCTTAAATTCATTTAGATACTAAAACCAAAATCCAAAACAACAAAGTCATGATGAGAGTTAACCTGGAACTTAACAACACCACTAACCTGAACCAATTCAATCAGAATCCAGCAAAGAATGTTACTTATCTAAATTAAACCCCCACCATAACAATCCATACCCAAATACTCGACAGGAAGAGTTTAACCAAGCTAAAACCCATATGACAAGCTAAAGTTCAAATACACACCCAAAATGTACTGTTAGCAGCATGACTGAATATAGTAAAATCACATACAAAGCTAATTCAATAAGGAAAAACATGAATAGTCTTTGAGGAACATGGACTAATATTCAACAAGCTAACATTCATCCATAAATTTCCAACTCGATTACATAGCTTCAAATTTTACACTTCACATATCACTCAAAGAGCCAAGGAATACCTGGAAATCAAAATAAACAACAGAAGATGAGGATTTCAGCAACAGCAGTGGGTCAGCACAACAATGTTCAGCTCTTTTAAACCATTTTTTACCCCAGATGAACAAAAATTCCTTGAAGTTTTTAAATTCCGACTAACAATGAAAACCAAAACAAATTTCAACCAAAAGATGCAAAAGTTTTTTAGTATTTTTTAGGATCTGAAGGGCTGCTTTAAAATGAAAGACGAGGGCTCTTATATAGGCACTCCTAAGGCAGCCCCAGTCTAGTTAACTAATTCCCCTTCTACCCCTTTAATTCTTAATCATTTTACCCTTTTAACCCCTTTAAAATATCTGAAACCTTTGTTTGCTTCACATGCAAGTCAGCCTACCCTTATCCTCTAGAAGTTTCCATAACATAAATTATTCCCTACCCGAAATACCCAAAATAACCCTTGACACCCCTGTATTTACCTTCCCACAATTCCCAACATTAGGCCAACTGACAGAGCTTAGGCCCAAACGGATATGACTTCTACTGTCCAGACAAAGAACCCACAGAAACCATATCACCCAAGATCTGTGACGACCCGAAGGGTCATCACCGTAATTCTTCCTTGTTCCGCGCTTTCGAGGCCTTGAAAACCTCGCTTTAGTTGCCTCGATTGGCGTGCACAGTTCAGGCGCGTAGTCGGAAAGTTTTTATGTTAGAATATGTGAATTATGTGAAACATTTGATGAATTTTGGTATTAATATGCATAATGTTCACTTCGGTCAATATTTTGGATAAACGGACCCGGACCTGTGATTCGACGGTCCCGGAGGGTCCGTAGAAAAATATGGGACTTGGGCGTGTGCCCGGAATTAAATTCCGAGGTCCCAAGCCTGAGAAATGAATTTTTGTGTGAAATTGTTTTCTGAAATTAATTAAGGAAAATGAAGAAGAAAATTGATCAGAAAACTGTGGTATCAGGATTGTATTTTGGTTCCGACGCTTGGTACGAGTCTTAAATATGTTTTAAGCACTATCTGTAAAGTTTGGCTAAAAATGGACGTCATATGACGTGTTTCGAACTTAAAATGGAGAATTTGAGTTTTTATGAAAGTTGAAAGAAAATTATGTATTATGAGGCTTGATCCTATGTATATGATGTTATTTTGGCGATTTGATCGCACGAGTAAGTCCGTAAGGTATTTTCGAGATCATATGAATGTTTGGTTTGGAGCCCCGAGGGCTCGGGTGAGTTTTGAATATGGCCCGGGAGGTCTTGGACTTAAGAAAATGCAGGTTCAGGTGTTGCAGACACTAGCGCGGCCG